TCCTTGGAGATGAAGAGATTGACGAAGAAGATTTACTGGCGATTTATGAAATCGCAACGAAGAGAAGAACATCCTTACAAGCAGTATGAAAGGATTGACGATGTTTTTGACGCCATTTCTCCTGAAGAGTTTGAAGCAGAGTTCAGGTCTGACATCACAGAATTGCCTCTCCTTCTTCGGGCATTAGCAATTCCAGAAATGTTTACTTGCGCCAATGGCACGGTATGTTCAGGAACGGAAGAACTCTTGATTTTATTGAAACGTTTTTCTTACCCATGTCGTCTCTCGGATGTGATTCCTCGCTTTGGTCGTTCAGTGCCCAAGCTGAGCTTAATCTTAAACGAGGTGATCAGCTGTATTTACACAAACAATGGATACTCGCTCAGAGATCTCGATCAACCCTAGCTGAGTAGCCAACATCTGGAAGACTTTGCTCTTGCTGTCCATGGAAAGGGAGCAGCTCTTAAGAATTGCTGGGGGTTTGTAGACGGGACAGTTCGCCCAATTTGTCGCCCAGGAGAGAACCAGCGTGTGATGTACAATGGGCACAAAAGGGTACATGCCCTAAAGTTTTAAGCAGTTGTTGCGCCAAATGGTTTAATAGCCAATATGTATGGACCAGTTGGTAAGCTAATACGATTATTTGCATCGTTATACTGTAATGCCTCCCCTTATTTAAGCCCCCAAATTTGAAACTGGATTGAAGTGTCACTACCGTAAATCCTCGAATTAGCGTCCTCTTGAATAAGCATCCCCTTCGAATAAGTGCCCCTCCTATCGACCAAACTTTAAAATAAGTTCCCCCCCCCCTTGAATAAGCGCCCCCTCTCCTCCCCTCATTTCGTGGACGAGTACTGAGAGAATAAAGGATGCATAGTTTTCGTCATGTAGTATTAGATTTGTACATTGCACTAATGGTGATTTAAACTCTAGGATCAGCTTTTTATGTCAATAAACAGCTAATGTTGTTTATGTGCAGATGATGTATTAAGAAAATGGTCATGTCAGGCCACCATTTGGGAAAAATTAAATAAGCACCCCCTCTCAATTAAGTGCCCCCCTTGAATAAGCGCCCCCATTTTCTCATAAATTTGAATTAAGCTCCTTGGGCACTAATTGATTTGAGGATTTACGGTATCTACAGGAGTGAGCTTGGTAATGAAGCCTACCCTTGAATCCTTACACAGAAATATATAACCCAGCCCCTACTAAATCAAAATGGCTATTAGCCAATTAACTTGGAAAATGAAATCAGTCTCTAACTCAACAGTTACCTGCAGCTACAAGAGTGAGATACAATGGATATATAAAGTTCATATATTTTGAAC